GGCGTTAAGGACTGGGTACCAGAGTGTCCAGGATGCTAGACAGTGGCAGGTAATGGCGAGATGTATCCAACAGCAGGCCCCGGTGAGGGAAGCGGGGAAAGTCTTCGATCTCGGTCTTGTTTATAAAGAACTGTGCGGACCAAACATTGAAGATGTCAGGGTTCAAAGGGAGCTTACCATGGGGAACGAGGGGTGAGGAAAACTCTGCCAAGATCCCTGCAAAGCTAATCTCTAACTGTTCTCAGGGTAACTGTGTCCCCAAACGCCCCCCACCTCTATACCAGTGATCATAAACCACCATCCTCCCAGACAGCAACTCTCCCACGCCAGACAAACACACTATCCCACACACCGCTCAGCCTACAAATTCTGTATTTTCCTGACTGTTAACATGTTTATGTTTTACGAAGCAGTGTGTCCTCAAGGTCATTACTAAATAATGACTCAGGGGAACCACATTATAGTGATTCCAAACAGACCAAATCTACCGAACCGGTTTTCCATCCACATCTCCTCCTGCACTCCTGTTGGGGCTACTGCAAGCCACCAGGACTCTGTCTAAGGAAAAATAAGATTTTCCCAGGACTCTCTACATTGGGAGAAAAACCCAGAGATTAGATAATTGGGAGCTAAACGATGGGCACACATGGGTACAAAGACCTATAAAGGTCATTGGAAACCAAGAAGGGGGAAGGGTGGGAGGGGGTGAGGGGTGAAAACTTACCTATCGGGTACAATGAACACTATTCTGGTGATGGGCACATTAAAAGTCCGACTTAAGCATTATACAAGGTATCCATGTACCAAAAACATTTGTACCCCCTTAATATTTGGAAATAAAAATAAATAAATACATTTTTAAAAAAGAAAACCCCAGAGATTAGAAAGGAGCCCTTTTTGAGGGCCCACACTCACTGTGCCCTCAGCAGATTTCCAGACAAGCTGGCTAAAAGTCTCCAGACCTGTGGAGAAGGAGAGAGGCAGAGGAGAGACTCAGGAAGCGGAAAAGAGATCACCCATGTGGAAGGTTCTCAATGTGACAGTGCATAACGTCTGGGTACACAGTGAAATGGATGTAGCATAGTCTTGATGATTCTTAATATTTATCAAAAGGGGACACTAGGTAGCCAGTATCCATTTTTATTCTGTATTTTTATTTTGGGAGGTGGCAGGGAAAGGGGTTTTGGTGCTCTTCCTTGTAACATACTAACCTTCAAAACCCATATACCTCTTATCCATATTTCCTAAGCCTTGAACTCACAGGAATATTCAAAAGAGAGGCCAACATGTGTGCTCATGAGAACACATGCAGGGACAAGCCAGCCTGCAAGGGTTAAGGCTTTCCATGGGTAAACCTATCAGGAGCTAAGGCAGCTCAGAAAAAGGGTCCCCACTCTGTTGCCCCTTCACTTCTCCCAGATTCAGTTGTGAGAAAGTGATCATAAGCTTGAGTTTCCAAGAAGCCTGGGTCCATAGTTAGGCTCAGAAGACAAAGAAGCATCCACTCTTCGTCTGCAGAGTCTGACAAGAGACCCAGCTGCAGGGAGCTGAGGTGTGGTGGGCAGCAACTGCCCCAGAAGGACTGACGCAGTCTCCCAGAGGCCAGCAAGGCCCAAGCACAGGTATGTTGAGTCCAGAGCATTACACGTTAATGACAGCTATAGCCCACTTCCGGACACCCTCCAGAAGCCCCGTGAAGGATTCCCAGAGTCCCCAAACTTCAAAATGAAAGAATCCATGAGGCCTTAGTGGCCACTCAGCACCTAATTTGAAGCAGATGCTAGTGCACGGCTAGTAGGCTTCTCCCTACTCTGACTCTGACACCCAGCATTCTGGAGTCCCACATCGCCCTGCCCCACCTCACTAATCGTAGCACCTGCACAAAATATTTACGAGGGAGGAAGGGGAGTCAGCACGCTGTTTCTCCAAACCGCAGAGGGGCAAGGTATGACGACAAACTAAAACAAGGTGTGGCGTTCTGTGGGAACTGCCTCATCATTTCCCAGCGGAGCGTTTATCCAACGTAGCAGAGGGACTTGGCTACGTGTGTGTCGAAGGAACAAACGCCTTTTCAGTGAACCGAGAAGAAGGGCTGGGGCCTGTTACCTGTTCACCCGTTAGCTAGTAAACTCCCCATTTTCTCCAGAAATATATAGTTCTACATATTTTACTACTACTTATTTTTTTACATTTATCAATTTCTTTTGTTACAGCTTTTCTTTTTAAAGAATCTTTCTGATTATGTATCTTTAGTGAGAGCTGGACGGGCAGTGTTTGTGGTAACACCCTCCCACCTTTCGCCCCAGAGCACCTGCCCAGGGGAGCTGCTGCCACTGTACAGGGTGAAACGTGACAGTTTCTAGGGACACCTATGAGATGGGCAACGCTCCAACTGGTTTCTATAAAGAAAGCTTTCTAAAGCGGGGATATTCGCTAGGCCCCAAGTCCTGTCCTCCCACCTCACCAACCGTCCCGCATCATGTCTCTCTCTGCGTCAGCCCCACCTTGTTACCTCGGAGAGCTCCCCAGACAGTCTCAGAGAGGAGTAAACATTCGTCATCATTTATGGTCAGGGTATCTGAAGTGACAGAAATGACCTCATTTAGTCAAGGTCTTCTCTCAGATTATAGACCAGATGTTCTATGTAAATCCTTCTACATAAAAACACCCAGCAAGATGATATATATATTTTTTATCTTTCAGTGAGGAGATATCCCTGGAGTAGGACAGCTGTTGGATGGCCAGGCCTGGGGCCAGTGTGGAAGGGTGGTCATCACAGTGGCTCTGTAGACCCTGGAAGATGGCGTCTGAGGAGAGAGTCAGGCTGGAGCAGAGTCCTCTGCAAGGCACCACCCACCTCGTGGTCAGTTTCCCAGCAGAAACGTGAAATCCTACCAGCTTTTAGCTGAAAGGATGAAGTCTCCTATTGGCAAAGGGAATAAGGATGCTTTCAGGGGAGTTCGGGACATGGTGCTCCCAAAGCCTTTGTGATCACCCTCCTTTCCCTTTTTCTTAAGGCTTCAACTACTTCATCCGAGAATGGGAGGAAGAAGCCAAGACTCGAATGTTCACTTTGGAGGCTG